ACCCAGCTCAATCCATATATGTATAAACATCAATAGAACGAGAGGTGGCGCGAGAAAAACAAACATGTCAGGTGTGCCGTTTAAGTAGTGAAGGTTCCTTTGGATAACTCAGAGATGGTGTTCATAGAGATCATGCATGAATTGACTCACAATACCTACTTCATGTCAATTGTTGGGGCGAGTATGACCAAGGTAAATGTGTTTTCCCACAAACCATTGGCAGTTAGCCTTGCTCACTGGACCCGCATTGGGAATATCAACTAGGTTCTCATTGAGATCTATTGGGACTGCCACTGGTTTGCAAAGGTGAAAGTTATTCTCTGTCAATAGATCAAACACATATTTATATTGAGACAAACAAATGCCCCTAGATAATCAAACAACTTCCATGCCTAAGAAGTACTGAAGTGTTCCCAAGTCCTTCATTTCAAATGTAGTAGCAAGAATACATGTCAAAGATTTTCAATTCTGGTAGATCATCACTTGTGAGTACAATATCATCGTCATAAACAATAAGGATATCAATTTTGTCATTGAAGGAATGCCAAAAGAAGAGAGTATGATCTGATTGGGCCTTTGAAAAAACATGCCCCATTACCACTTTTATGTCCTTACCAAAGCAGACCCTTGGGGATTGCTTTATTCTGTAGAGAGACTTTCACAATCGACACACTTGTTCCTTGAGAACAGTAGAGTTGAAGCCAGGAGGGAGGCACATATATATCTTCTCTTTGAGATCCTCATTTTGAAAGACATTTTTGAGTTCTAGTTGGAGTAAAGTCCAATCCAAATTTACAACAAGGGAAAGTAGGACCCGAATGGTGTTTAATTTAGCAATTGGAGCAAAAGTCTCCTCATAATCAACTCCATTTGTTTGTGAGTAGCCTTTGATGTCTAACCGTGCATGATTGCATTTAAATGATCCATCAGAGTTAAACTTGGTGTTAAAAATCCAGTGACACCCTGCTGCTTTCTTACCTGAAGGAAGGTCCATAACATCCCATATATGATGCCATTGAAGGACTTTTATTTCATCCATTACTGCAACTTTCTAGGAAGGATCATCTAATGCTACTTCAATAGTGGATGGGAGGTGATGATCCATCATGGTAGCAACAAACACTTTATAACTCAATAATACGTTGTGAAAAGAGATTTATTTCTCTATGGAATAAAGAGAGCTTACCTGATTACATATTTCCACAGGAGAATCCACCTTACCATTCAGAGTGGTGTCAATTCTAGGGATGTCCCTCGAAGCGGATTTCAGTTCCTGTAAAGAGGCAGCGGGCTCTGGAGTGGGATCATGAGGCACTGAGTATAGATATAGAGAATGAGAGGAGGTTCTAGTTGTTTGATAGGTGGTGGATTCAAAGGGACAAAGTGCTCATCAGATATAGTAATTGGAGAAATATCCATAGGAGTCAGATAAGGAATAATGTCCAAGAAATCAAACTACCTCTCATTTGAGGCAGTGATAGGGTGGTAGGAAACAATTTCAGAAAAGGAGACATTTGCTATTACATAGAGTTTATTTGTGGTAGGATCAAGACAACGACGGTCTTTTTGAATAGTAGAATATTCGTTGAAGACGCACTTTGTAGATCTGGGATCAAACTCACTACAATTAGGGGTAGCCTTCTGAACGAAGGCCATGCACTAAAAAATTTTGGGTTTAAGAGTGGTGAAGAACTGATTGTTAGGGAAACAAGACATCAAGATGACTAATGAATTTCTGAAGTTATGAATTTTTGTGGGAATTCTATTGATGAGATAGATGACAGTAAACACAACATCTTTCCATAACCTTTTTGGGACTTTAGATCGAAACATATTTGGAGCGAGTTATTTCGAGAAGGTATTTGTTTTTTCTCTTGGCTACTCCATTTTGTTGAGGAGTGTCCGTGCATGAGTTTTTGTGGAGGATGCCCTTACTTACCAAGAACTCACCTAAAATAGAATTAAACAATTCATTGCTATTGTTCATTCGAAGGACTTGAATTGAAGTTTTGAATTTGGTAAAAAATGAATGAGTGAGTTTTTAAAGGCGACAACAACTTCAAATTTCTCTTTTAGGATATAGATCCTCATCCTTTGAGTGTGGTCATCAATCAAGGTAAATAACCACGGTTTATTAGTGTAGTTGGGGGTGCAAGTGGGTCCGACAAGTCACTGTGAATAAGTGAAAATGAAACGAAAGGCATGTAAGGATGAGATGCATAAGGAACATGATGATGTTTAACTAATTGAAAAATTTCACATTTGAAGTTAGCATGATTTTTATTAGTAAACATCATCATATGCAATTGCTTTAAACATTGAAAACTGAAATGAATCAAACGATAATGCAACAACATAATAGGACACTTAGTGGATCGAGAGAAACTGCAACTGCTGGGAGATTCAGTGGATTGAGAAAAACTGTAACTATTGGGAGAAGTGTAATCATCCTACTTGAACGACAATACTGAAAGACACTAACATCAGGAGAGAAGTTAGCAACACAATCCATATTATGTGTTAGTTTACTAATATGTAACATGTTACACTTTGACAAATGAACACATAACACAAATTCTAGAGTTAGATCGATTGTTAACACAACTGATCTTTTAGCAACAATCGAGTTACAAGAGCCATCAACAATTTTAACCGTCTTTCTTAGAGCATGAATGTTATGTTGAGAAATCTTGAGAGCATTCAATCATTTGGTCCGTGGCACTTGAATCAATGATTCATCGACTAGAAAAGAAGTAGGCATATAAGTGATACCTTGATGGACGCGGGGGGTTGATGGGCTGGAAATGAACTGATTGGATCCGAGTAGTTTGATTTAGTTGCTCCATCTGACTCTTAAGAGTGTCGGGTGATTTCAGAATATTCTGAGTAGCAGTTGGTTGTATCGTAGTGGATTGAGATGTAGTAGTGAGACCCTTACCAGAGGAGGATTTGATGAAAGGTTTGTATTGTGGTTTCCCATGAAGTTTTCAACACTTCTATCGAGTATGATTGAGTTTGTGACAGTAATCACAAGTGGACCCAGTGGCTTGAGGAGGGTTTGACTAGTGTTGAATACTATTAGTGGATGGTTTGTCTGAGGTGTAAGTGCCGAGCATGACAATTCTCAGACTCTTTTCTCTTCGAATTTCTGTGAAAGCAGCACGGGTGGAGGGAAGATGATCCTGGCCAAGGGTACGTCCCCAAACTTCATCAATGTTTTTGTTAAGACCAGCCAAAAATTAGAACATGAATTCTTTTTCTACATTTTTCTAGAAGAGGGAAAGTTTTGCTAGAGATTCCTACGTGTAGCATACGACCGCCAAATCATAGTAGTACCGGGCCGCGTTTCTCAATCCTTGTTTTGCCTTGCAGATCTTCTTAGAAACCTCATAAGGTTGATTGAAGCTCCCTACATCTGAGGAGGTATCCCGAAAACCAATCCATAGGGCACTGACAGAAGGGAGAAACCTATAAGAATGTCCAAGCGCAGTCTTTATGGAGTTAATCAGCCATTACATGACTATGAAATTTTTCAGTTCCCATGTTTCATATGCCTGATCAGTTTTTGAAGGTCACGAATCATGCCTGTGGGATAACCAAATTTCTTGCATCTCTTGACGAACAAAGACATGACTTGGGGCCATTGGAGAAAATTAGATCCGCTCAATTTATCGGTGGTGATTAGGAAGTTCTTGTGGTTTTCCGCTTCTCTAGTTTGTGGAGAGATGGAGATCGGTGTCGACCCTCCGGTGACTAAAGTACACCGTTGGGAGAGTTCCCAGTTGTGGAAGAGCACGCCATAATTCCAACTGAGCCAAATGAGATGTTGGGTTGCTGAGACATAAGCAGACCCTGGAAGCTGGACAGGAGAAGAACCGACAAATGGAAGGATCCCTGGAAATTGGAGAAACAAATCAGCCGGCGGCAGAAATTTTCGGCGGTTGAAAACAACTGCCAACAAGCCACGTGATATTCTCATGGAGTCAGCTCAGGTGTCCCGTAGGAAGGCTGACGGTGAGGGTAGGGATGCTGACACTCTGAGATTTCGTGGCATTTTTTGATATCTGGCAGGTGGCAGCAACTTAGGTGACGTCGAGATCTGATAGAATCTTGTAAGGACTATAGAAATCCTGTAAGGCAGCTCAAGTAAATCTTGTAAGGGCGGTAGAAATCCTGTAATGCAGCTCAAGTGACGCTGAGATCTGGCAGCAGGAAGGAGTCAAACAGGGAGAACCTGTAAGGGTTGGTGGCAGGAATCCTGTAGGGAAGAACCTGCGGGTTGCTGGCAGCTAGGGTAGAGTCTCTAGGGATAAGGACATGGCTCTGATACTATGTCAAATTTAGAAAATAGAGATGCATATTTTTATTGATAGGAAGAGAGGTATAAATACATACTACAAGTTCCAAATAAACGAAAGGCATAATTCTAAAAATAAATCAATCTGGAAATACATAAATATGAAAATGGAAGTAAAGAAATCAAATAAAATCAAATAAAAGCTAATAATAACTGCAACAATAATTAGCCTAATAATTAAATTAATACTTCTATTGGAAATCATCTTAAGAAAGATGATGAGAAACCGCAAAGTGTTCAAATTGCATGCTCATTGTCAAAATACTTGGTTTATACAAAACATTTTAAGAACGATCTTCTAAGCTTTCAAAACAGACTGGCTCATATCTGCGGCGAAACAAGATACAGTAAGATAGAAAGATTGATTCAATATTATATTATTTGAAATGTAGGTATCTTCAAAAAGATCATCTAGCTGTACAATATCTTATGCATCATACATGGATATTAGTGACCTTCAGGGGTTGGAAACCTTGACAACTAGTACATTCTTGACTTGTTTGGCTATCGTTATTTGGATCCATTTGGTGCATATTCATCAAAGAAGTTTCGATATCTTAATATTATTATTTTTTACTTGAATCATTTGGGTTTCTTTTAATTATTTTGGTTTCTATGTTACATTATTAATTTGATTTTATAGGTGGAAAAGAGAAAATCCTTGCAAGTTTTTCTCTTGCACTTCATACAGACTTACAAAAATTGGGAGCCTGAAAATAATGACGACTTATCAATTGTGCTGCCATCATCAGATGGTATAATTATTGGATGTTCTTCTGGGCATCCATCTGAAGTTATCCTTATTCTCGTTCAAGAAATTACTCGGTTAACTTCTCTTGTGTCTGAGTGTAAGTGTGTTTGCATGGTCTTCAACGTTCTTTTTGCCTTATTTAATTGTTTTGGCTGACAAAGCTAATTTCTTGGCAATTTCTATTCTATTTTGTTGGCTTAATTATATTTTTTATTCTCTAGCTTAACTCTTTAATTTTTAGCGTGTTTTACCGTTTAATTTCCTACACTGTTTTGCACCTGACATATTCCCACAAGTCAGCAATTTAAATATTCATTATTTTGTACAATTTAATCTTACTTGTTTCTTCCCTATTGCATACTCTTTTTTGCTTTATCGTATCCATTTGTGGAGATTTATGGTAAATATTATTTTTCCAGTGCTTCAATTTGATCGCCCCTATTTGCTTGAAACCAAAAATTTAATGATTGATATTTTTTTAAGTATAATAAATGTATTTACAAAATTATTGTTGCCTATAATTTGTTGCCAATTGGATTCCACATTTGTTCTATGATTATTTTATGATCTCATCCTAAGGAGTTCAAAGCTGCTGAACTTGTTCCTATATAATTGCTTTCAGTGAACAACAATGCTTCAAAGGCTAAATCTGATACTTATGATCTATCTTCAAGCTTGACTTTTAGTTCGGATGGTTTGTATGTTTTGAATAGTTTGATGATTGCGAACCGTTCAATGCACAATTGCAAGGTTTTTGGCTACTATGGAGGTGTGCAGAAGGTCACCGCTCTTCTTCTGAAAGGTACAAAGCTGTTACATTCTTCTTTTTCTTTTTTTCGATGAGCATTCATTAATTCAGTGCAGTCAAATTGTGCCTTTTATACCTGGATTTATATTTTTTTCATGTATTTACCACAATTGAGATTTTTATATTAAATCACTGAAAAAATTGACTGATTATGAATGAAAAGAAAATAAGTTTTTTTTTTTTGCAAAATTTTCATCTCCTGGTCAATTTGGGGATCACATTGTTTCTTTTTTATTACCAATGCTTGTTGACCTGATTGTTGACCGAGAAATGGTGAATTTATACTTGCTGCCAAGCTGGCAATTCTAGGGATTGTATGCCTGCTTATTGTAGAATAATTTTTTTTAGTTTCTGTTGATGCATATATAAAAACTTGGATAATATTTGTATGGTCTGGCCTAACAATTCTGTCAAGCAACCAACATTTAATTAATTATTTCCAAAGGTAGAAAATGCCTTGTGTAGCACAAAATCCTACTTTATAAATAGGTCTGGGGAGTTCTCAATAAAATACATACAAATGAAATATCCATTTTTTTCCATGGTATCAGAGCTCTAGGAAAGAAATTCTTGGGTATTATTTTTTGGTTCTTTCTCAAGAACCAATTTCAATGATAAATATTTATGCTGGTTGCTTTCTTGCAACAAGCACCATCTCCGCATGCCCCTTAACAGGAAGGCTTTCACTACTAGCATTAGGAGAACCACATGTTGTCTCCGCTAGCAAGGAACATCGTCAGTGAGATTGTTACCACAGCAAGGAATATGATCACAACAGGGAGAATTGTGCATCAACATTAAAAGATGAGAAGATAATTGCTTTATTAAATCCATGGATAACACCTCAAATACTGGAAACCATTGACCGACTAATATGTTCCACTAAAACTTAATGGTTATTACGAAAAATTTCAATTTTCATTCAATTTGATCGGACGAAATTATCTAGTATAATTTCAGATTATGAAAAGTTTTCTCAGAGGAAAAGGAAAGCTAGGCTGCCCTTATTGGTTCTATGCCGAGAGCAGATTATCTTAGTTTTGCTTCATGAGACATGGAGGATTCTTAATTATGTCATAGCTATGTGATTCTACAGTTCAGAAAGTCAGGACGACATACATGTTCCTAACCACATTCCAAATATATCTAGGATGTTGTGATGCAAACATATGCAAAGGTTGGTGATGTTGATTTATTCTATAAATTAAGACAATTCAAATGACCAAACAAGATACCTATCAGTCACTGTTTATTATAATGAAATGACAAATTTGTGCCTCAAAATTCTTTTATTACTAGCGTATTACATGAGGTGCTGTGAAGATGCAGTTGTATTGCAAGCTTTTGTTGAAGAATAAAGTTTTTATAAATTACTAGCTAGATTAAATGCTAAATTGAAACGTTTCTCGGCAAACTTAAAATTTTTTTTCCGACTATTAGAAGTGAAAGGTGATATCGTGCCAACACTTGTTGGAGAGCATGCTGATCTATTTGCTTTCGCTACATTCAATGCAACCAAGATTGAGCTGTTTAAGTCCAAACCAGGTTCCCTATTGTCCATTAATCAAGCGTTCATACTTTGTAATTATTGTAAAAAAGCCAGACATACAAAAGATGCATGCTGGAAACTCCAGGGAAGCCTCCATAGAACAAAAACAAGTCTCCATACCAAAACCAATTTAGATAGAATCTAACCAACACCACCTCAACATAAGAGAAAAATGGATGCCAAAATGGAGGGACTAAAGTCGAAAGAAATTAAATAAACTTTGCTTCTACTTAATAGCTTTTGACCTTTTAATGGGTATGTGCTCTTTGGCTTGATTAGGTGTTGCTTCTTTTGATCCAGGCCCTGGCAGCCATATCATGTTGAGAGTGTCTAGCGCTTTTCATAATATTAGTCTTATGGTACTCTCTATTGACTATATTTTATGTTGATTTGATTTTTGTGTATGATAATTTGCTTATACTTGATTTCTACCATCCTATTCAAACTATGTTCTTATGAAGGGGATATGATATTTTATTTCTCCGGACTTGCTTGTTCTCATTGAGTCTATAGTGCGTGATTCCTCGTCGTCAAAGAACACAACTTTTAATTGATTATGTGTTGCAATATTGCCGTGAACTTCATTATTCATGAAATACATCTTCATTATATGTTTTTTCATTTATTTTAAGGAGTTATTTGGATCAATTTTTTTTTTTTTGTTTTTTCTTTTAAAATTTGTTATGCTTATGTTTTTTTTTTCTGAAATAAAATATGATTGGTCTCTTAAAAATGTTTTTATTTTTTTATTGAATATTAAATAATTTAATTTATGTGATGATGGTGAGGTCAATAGCTGAGTAGCAGTGATGACTAGTGAGGTAATAATTATGGCGTTCATAGTGGTGGTGGGCAACAACAGTGGCGATTGAAAGAGGATGGCGGTGGCCAAGGGTGGTGATAGTTTTTCTTAAAATAAAATTAAAAAAAAAGTTAAAAATATATTTTTAAAATAAAAACAAGCACACAAACAAAAACAAAAGCAAAAACAAAAAACAAAAAATGATCCCAATAGGCTCTTACCTTTTTATCTTTATGGTTATTAAAACATAGTATTCTCTAGTTGTTTCTATTTCTTTATTATTTGGGCATCAAATTTAGTTGATCTTTTGGGCATCAAAGTTGGAGTCTAGTAATACTGTCAAAGTGCTTGTTAAAATTCATTTGATGTTTCTTCTGAACTTTTTAGCCTCATGTAACTTTTTTAGTGAAAGAAAATGTTAGTTCATGCCATCTGAGGCCTATCATCCAGCATATTTTTGTGCATTCATTAAGCATCATTGCCTTTAGAATAATGTCTGAAATATCCCATGTGAACTTGATATGATCACGGGAAGTAGAATGCTATTGTTGCCTTTTTCGGCGCTTCGTCCAATGGGCTTTAATTTTTTTTCTCATGTTGATGTCTTATTTCTATTGTTTTATTTTTTTTGGAAGGTGCGAAAAAGATTTCTGATTTTGGTAGGTGGTTAAGGTCAAGGAACCTTGACTATAAAAGCTTATTATTTTAATGTTTTTAAATGATTATTTTTATTTTTTATTTTTTATGCTAGGTTTATTCTCCTTGGTTATTTTTGTTCTTTTTATATTTTAAATAACGTTTAGAACCATTAATTTTTTTAAGTATAAAGACTTTGAAAGGTTGGCTTCAGTGCATTGGTTTGGTTTCACTTAAGAGAAAATAAAGACATTTTTTTTTCTCTTTAATTAGTCTTCGGGAATTCTACAAAATATCATCACTTATTTCATTTGGATTTTTTTCACCATTTTCTCTTATTTTGTTGATGGGCAAGGGCCACTTGCAGAATAAATTTTCTTTAATTTTGGTTTTTATTAAATAAAAAATTTTTAACCAATCATTGAAAATGGTTTGTGATTAAGCACTCACAAGAAACATATAATATGTGAAAAAAATACCTTGGATCAACGTAAGAAGATGCTATGCAACTTTTTTATTCTATCATGTTGAGAAAAGCAATTTGATATTCAGATACTAACCAAATATGGAATGCCACGAGATTCAAGAGATTATTACATCTTTCGTGGACTCTAGTAAACTTGGGTTAGGGAAGAAAAACATTTTAATGATTTGTGCCTCCTTGAGAAAATTAAAGTTAAATTTTTTATCTTCTAAAGTACCTTGGGCTTATGTTGGGCATCATGCATATAATGCTTTTTTGATGCTTTATTTAGATGTGATTTATTGTGTGTTTCATGTAATTTGAAAAATAGGTTCTTGATTCGCCAAATGGCACATTGTATTTTAAATTAAGAAAAGTACTCCAGTATTATAAATAACCATTGTTGTTTTCAACTTGTGTGGATATAGGCCTTTGTAGTAAATTTATGTGTGATTGCATTTTTTTCATGTTTCCATTTGTGGTCTTGTTTTATTGTTGGGGGCATTTTTATTTGCTCTAATCTAGCTACAGAATTTTTATTTTAATAGCATAATAATAGTTTTGACCATTAGGAAAAGTAATTTTTGTATGAAAACTATGCGCTCATAGACAAATATTGTCATTAGGAAACTGCCTAATGGTTTACATGTTTTTTGTTTGGTTTATTTTCCTCTCTTGAGATTACTGTTATCCAATTAATTGATTGCCTTTCAATATCTCACTTGACATGAAATATTTCTTTTTTTTAATTTTTTTAAAATTAAAAGCCTTTGCTTTAGCATAATTTTCAATAAAAAGGAAGTTGATTTGTGCAATTGCTTGCCAATCTTATAATTATGAAGGAGAAGTAGTAGACCTTAATCCACATTTTACAAATTGTTCAAGAAGATTTGTAAGGATACTATAGCACTTCATGCAACACACAACATGAACCAATAAAAATAGAGGATCTTAGAATCTATTTCAAATAATTGGGATAAGGCTTAGGATAATGAAGATAATCTGTTGGTCTTCCAACATGCATTGGATTATGGATATTGAGATAAAGCTTGGATTTAGTGGAGAATTCGTTGGTTTATTAATGGAATGATTTTTTCAACAAAAATAAGCTTTATTCTTCAGGACTTTTCTGGTAAAATGAACACACTTTTGTTTCATGGGGTATTTTTGGGGCTGTTGGCTACATTTTGTGACTAATTATTTTTTTTGTATGATTTTGATTTTATGGAGTGAAGGTTTTAATGGCTCATGATTTTATGTGTTGGAAGAATTTTGCTTAGTAGAGCTTAGAGGAAGCCCTCCATGCAAACTCTTTTCGTGCAACCAACTATTCTTTGATACAATATTTTCAGGGAAAGTGAGAGTCACTACCATGTTACAAACTCCTTTGTTTAGCTGACCCTCATGCATTGAACACTTTGGTATGGAAGGCCCATTCTTGCTATAGCTTACCCATGATACTATTGCCAACCCACCCAAATAATATAACCAATGTACGAAACAACGTGATCAAATAAAACCAAAGTACCAATTTAAGAAAGTTT